TGGGAAACACTGAAAGCTAATGCGTGTAGTGGACCTAGTGATGATCTTTTTATTTCTTTATTTTTGATGCACAAAGTGACAACACAAATCTGACTAAATCTGGAAATAAAACAGCGTGATTGGCTGTAAGGAGGGCGGAGACAAAGGATACTCTTTGTAATTGGTATTAGTAAGGGTATGCTGGCCTGACGCGGTATGCTGAGATGACAGAATACCGGCCCTTCATAGGGTAATGAAAACCATGCAAATAAGTGTTTTTTCAAAGAGCTATCCTCAAAGTAACCAATCAAACTAACTGATGGGGAGGTTGAAATTTACAACTGTGTGTCGCTGTGAACGCAAATGTTTCCCCTCCCCCTCCGCAGACACTGCCAGACCGCAGACAGTACCACAGACAGGAGGCCTCTGATTGGTCAAATCTACATCCGCTCTACAATATGCATATTTCCTGTTTGGTACCATGCAGACTTGTTTTGTTTGTATGACCGCCATTGTGGAAAACGACTGGTGAAGATGGACCAGCTAGAAGAGTGAGATTCGTGAGAACGCTCGGACCCTTTCCCACCTGGATCCCCGCTCTTTTTCACCCTCATGTCGTTCCATTGTCGCATAAACTTGCCCCTTGCGTTTTTCCACTTCCTCACTGCCTCAGCTGTATCTAGACCCACAGCTAGTGGCTAATTGTCCCTCTTGCCTTGCAGAGTGGAATACCAGCACAGACCATGCTTCAATATTGTGCATATATAAAAAAAAATCTGCAACAAACTCACTGCGACACACTGCTGTGGGAGTATAACCAGCCCTTAAGGAATTACGTTTTATCCCTTTAGAGGTTGAAGCTATTTGCTAAATAGTAGTTATGGAAGTTAGGCAGGTCTAGTCCTCCTCTATCTGTGGTCTCCTGTAGCGTCTTCAAGCTGATATGAGGGGTTTATCATTCCAAGGAAATTTAGAGATAGAGTTGAGAGATTTAAACCAGTTAAATGGCAGTTTATTAGGGAACGAAGCAACCCTGCCCATAAGTGAAGCAATGTCCATTTCTCAAGATTGTCTTCTATCTTTTTAAAAGTGGGACATGGTTTAATGCAGAGGTCACAGATTAGCTGACTGCGTTCCAGATCTGGACCCACCTGCTGGCTAATCTGGACCAAACCTGATTTAGAAGGAAATCATTGTCTTCTGAAAGAAGGAGAAGACGATGAGAAAAAGAGAGCAGAGAAAGTGTGGACTGCTGAAAGAACTGCGGTGAACTGGTGAAAGAAAAGTGGAATGGCGTGCTCAAAGATGACCCTGCACATTTAGAGGATGCTTGGCTCAACCTGCTGCTGTGAAGCAGGATTCTCCACCATGAACAGATAAAAAAATAAATCTGGATCCAGGCTCAAAAAGAGCACCTTGATATGTGCTTGAGAATGGCTCAGTCTCCATTCAAACCCAGGTTTAAAGCCTTGCAGGGCATACTCAAAATGTGCAGGGTCATCTTTGAGCGTGCCATTTCGCTTTTCTTTTACCAATTCACTGCAGTTCTTCCGGGGACTATATCTTGCTCAAATCGCGTCATAAAAATATGCAGATACTTGCAACTTGTAGATAAGGAGACGATGTAAAGAACTGTAATGATTCTGTGTTTGGTTCTATTGGGGTCCATACGTCATGTGTATTGTGTTCCTTTGTTTAATGCGTTTACTTTGGTTGACTCTGTAACCCGTTGCTCACACTGGCTCCGGTGCGGTTACCGAGCCGACGGAGACCGCAACTCCCGCACACCCCCTCTCACACCGCCCTTTTGACTACGGTGCGGTGCGGCNTCAGTCTCCAGACTGACAAAGAACCTTTGCTAAGCTCGTGCTCTTTGTATATCCCAGGTTCGTGCTCGTTTCTCCCGTGGCTCTTGTGAGGTGGAGCTGCCTGTCTGCCTCTGCTCGTGTCTGGCTCAGCTGATCCTCTGTCTCTGACTCCTGGATTTCCCCGCGGCTTACCTGATCCGCCGAATCGGGCTGTGGAAGGACCCCCTTCGGATCTGTCTGGTTCCCCCTGCTGTCTCAGGATTCGGCCAGCGCCGCTCGGACCCAGCCTGCGCCCTCCTCCACCGGTCAGCTGTCGGAACCTCTCCCTCCACAGAGCTAAGTCCACTCAGCCTCCCCCCCCCAGGCCGGTTCCCAAGCCTTAGTGGTAAGCCGGCGCGTCACGTCCGCTTCTTCTCGCGTTGTTTTACTTTACTCCGTTAATTATTCTCTACCTTGCTTCTTGGATTGTTCGTGTTCCCGCTCAAGTGATTCCCCTTGCGAGCACCTCTTCTGGTGATCATTCCTTAGAGGATTTACAGATTATTATTTTCAATAAATGTTAAAACTGCTTCCTGTGTACCGGTGTGCTCTGCATGTGGGTCAGACATTTCAAACCAACTATGACAGAAGAATACTCTGGCCAGACAGACCCCGCAGACTATTTTGGTAGGGCGTTAAACACCTAACACGATAAGATCCGGGGATTAGAAACGGTAGTGCGTTGAATGCAGGATCAGTTTCAGGGCTTCGCCGCTCAGCTTAATCAGCTGACGGCCGCACTCACTGCCGGTCCTGAACCTGCCGCTCCCACCTTGCCGAACCCAACGCAAAGAACATTTAAGTTATCCGCCCAGCTCGACTCGGGGTGCGACTTTAATTTAGTCGATCAATCCTTTGTGCACCAGGATCGACTTGAGACTGTCACTTTGAGCTCTCCCACATATAACACACCGAACTAAACCTCTTGAGCTAGTCATTTCTGGTAATCGCCGTGAACAGATTTATTTTCTCGTGTTCCCTGTTCAACATTCTCCGCTGGTTCTGGGCTTCTCCTGGTTGCAGTCGCATAACCCGCAGATTAACTGGACCGACCGACGTGTCGAGTCATGGTCACCTAACTGTTTATCGTGCTGTTTACATGCAGCCATGCCGACCAGCCTTGCCCCCAGTTTTCCCTCAGCCGAGATCGATCCTGAGGATCTAGAACTGGTGCCGGTCCAGTATCACGACCTCCAAAGGGTTTTCAGCAAATCACAGGCCTGTTTGTTGCCTCCCCATCCCCCCTATGACTGCGCTATCAAGCTGTTACCCGGGGCTCCCTTACCGATGAGCAGGCTCTATAATATTTCTCAAACCAAAAGGCAGGCCATGGAGAAATATATTAACGAGTCGTTAGCCGCCGGCCTCATACGCCCCTCGTCTTCTCCCCTAGGGGCAGGGTTCTTCTTTGTCGGTAAAAAGGACGGATCCCTACGTCCGTGCATTGATTAACGCGGGTTAAACGCCATCACCGTCAAGAATAAGTATCCTCTACCGCTTCTCTCCTCCACCCTCGAACCGGTACAGTCGGACACTGTCTTTACGAAGTTAGATCTTCGCAATGCTTACCACTTGGTACGGATCCGCCGGGGGGATGAGTGGAAAACAGCCTTCAAGACCCCCATGGGTCATTTCGAGTACCTAGTGATGCCCTTCCGCCTGTGCAATGCTCCCTCAGTTTTTCAGGCCCTCGTGAACGATTTCCTCAGAGACTTCTTGAATGTTTTTGTTTATCTGGATGATATCTTGATCTATTCCCGTGATTTGGCTGAGCATCAACACCACGTTCGTCTTGTCCTCCAGCGCCTCCTGGAGAACAAACTGTTTGTCAAAGCAGAGAAATGTGAGTTCCCCAAATCCTCAAATTACCTTCCTTGGGCTCATCCTTGAAGGGGGATGCTTTATCACGCCTGCACCCCCCTACGGACTCCGAAGAGGAACCAGCCCCCATCCTGCCACCCACCTGCTCCTTCGGGGCCCTCAGATGGGAGATAGAGAATCTAATCTCTCAAGCCCAACAGTCGGACCCGGACCCAGGTGATGGCCCACCTGACCGTGTCTATGTTCCAGCCTCTCTTCGTTCCCGGGTTTTACAATGGGCCCATTCTGAGAAGTTTTCTGCCCACCCCGGGGTTCACCGCACCAACTCCTTTCTCTCCCGTCACTTCTGGTGGCCCCACATGTCCTGCGAAGCTAGAGAGTTTGTTCGCTCCTGTCCTGTCTGCTCCCAAAACAAGGGTTCCAACAGACCCCCTGCCGGTCTCCTACAGCCTCTTCCTATTCCTGAACGCCCCTGGTCCCATATTGCCCTAGACTTTGTTACTGGTCTTCCCTCCTCAAATGGTTTCACTACTATCCTCACGAACATAGACCGCTTTTCTAAGGCATGTCACCTCATCGCTCTGCGTAAGCTACCATCTGCTTTGCAGACGGCCCAGCTCCTGGTTCGACATGTTTTCCGCCTTCATGGTATCCCCAAGGACGTCCTGTCAGACAGAGCGGATGAACCAGGAGCTGGAGGCCGCTCTCCGCTGCCTCACATAATCAAATCCATAAGATTGGAGCAAATACCTACCCTGGATAGAGTACGCCCACAACACCCATGTTTCTCTGCCACCGGAATCTCTCTTTTTGAAGCCTCCCTAGGCTATCAGCCTCCCCTGTTCCCCTCTGAAGAGAAACAGATTCATTCTCCGTTGCAGACACTTTTGGACTCAGACTATTCAGGCTCTCCAAAGAACAGCGGAGCAGAACCATCGATTCTCTGACCGGAGACGTCAGGGGGTCGGGCTCTCAACCAGAGATCTCCCTTCCCGGACCTCTCACCGAAAACTATCCCCCCGTTTCTCTGGCCCTTACGAGATGACCTCCATCATCAGTCCCACTTCAGTCCCTCTCCGTCTCCCATCCCACTCTAGAGTTCACCCCACATTTCATGTTTCCCTGATTAAGCCCGTCCTCTCTAGTCCCTTCTGCCCTCCGGCCGAACCCCCTCCACCCGCCCAGGACATCCGGGGACACCGGATCCGAAGGATCGTGGACTCCCGTCGGCAGGGTAAAGGGTTCCAATACCTCGTCGACTGGGAGGGCTGCGGTCATGGGTTCCCGGTTCCTCCATCTCTGACCAGTCACTCCTCAAGTCCTTCCAGCCCTCCCTCTTTCCTCCACGTCTTCCTCTGGGTCCCCAGGTGGTGACCGTTGGGGGGGGTTGGGTTGTCAGGACTCAGTTCTGCGTGTTCAGCAGCGCTGAGCTGCACTATAAGATCAGCACATGCCAGAGTATTAACCGTTGTTGCTATGGTTTAGTGGCCTCAGTCTCCAGACTGACAAAGAACCTTTGCTAAGCTAGTGCTCTTTGTGTCTCCCAGGTTCACGCTCGTTTCTCCCGTGGCTCTTGTGAGGTG